TGTGGCACTCGTTACGGGTAGTTGAAACCCTAAAAAACTGGCAGTAAAAAATCAGCTATATCGTAGTAGACTTAAAGCTGACCCCAACCTAGTTTGGGAAAAAGGCTCAGAGAAAGAAGAAGCTTGCATCTAAGTAGAGTAAATTTATATGGAAAGTAAACACATCGTAACGAGTTTTCCTTTTTATTTCAAAACATTAGGAAATTTTAAATACTATATTTAGTATTTATAATGCTGCAAATATGTAATGGGGTTAAATCTTCCATACCTGCCCACACCAGTTACTTTATAGCGAAATAAGTAAATCTATTACTGGAAACTAGTCACAATTTATGTGATTTATGTCATAGTAGTTTTTCAAATACAGGCATGGAACAATGAGCAAGTTGACGTCTGGCCGACGACTACCGCCTTGTAAGGGGCGGGGTGTCACAATCCCTGCCGTCACTCTCGTCACATAAGGATACCGCCACCCTATTAGAGTTGCAACAAATTACAATTTCATTCAATGTAAATCCGCGGAACGCACCCTAAGTGATGGTAATGGTTGAACTTAGACACGCCTAGTGGTTTATTGTCACGCGGATTAAGCTGTTCGGGTGCTCCATTGTATTCTGACGGTTATGTCAGCGCATATTTACGGCCGACAAATACATATTCAAATAGCAGCTGTAATTAACATTAACGGGAATCTGCTTTTATTAACCGCTACGACGTTAAGCTATACCAACTAAGTAGGTAACATTACTAAGTTGCAATAATGTTCATTATAGCATTATAAAAGTTAGCGTTTTCGATTTATGATTCATTAATGTAACTACATACTTGTTTTTAGTGCACATGAAAATAGTTGTATAGAAGATATTCAAATAAATGTACCGTACGAAACTTCATTTTCCACTTAAACGTAGTGGTTTATTAGCTATTCAACATTAATCTATACTTAGCGTTAAACGTATGTAGTAGTAGAGAGCAGTAACTAGTATATTTTTTAGAACAAATTATGTTACCTTTATAATTTTGAGTACGGCATGCGATTGATATGTTTTATAATAAAACGTGAGCAACATAAAAGGAAGTTTTCTTAATTTTATTGCCAAATGCATTAAAGGAAGACCAAAATAAGTCTATATATAAGTCAAATAAGTATAATACAGAAGATATATAGTGAGAGCAGAGGTAACAAACTGAGGGGAAAAGTAAAAAATGTATTGTATAGATCGTTGCAATATATAATATCCTTATTACCAAGATGTTAATGATTGTCCAATACATGTAGTACAATAGAAGCTAATAGGTTAGATTCAACATGCCATTTTATTTACTTCTGTAGGAAAGATCTGTGCGACAGATTACATATGCAGGCATATCACTTGTAAGGAGCACAAGAAAACGAAGACGATACCCATAGTGTGCCAACCGGTACTGGTATGGTGAAACGTAAATAGCAGGTTGGAGGCATCCGGCTCATTGAATGCGCTGACCTCATCTGATCTGTGTTCCTAGCAAGCTAAGCGTGCCCGCACATTCGCAGTGCCAGTGTCTACTAAGAGAGAATTCATTAACTAAATCAATAATTTTATGATATGAGTCGTCATACTTTTTTATTTGTTAATATTTCTGATCCGAAGTTTAGGATATTTGTTTAGCGAATTAATACGAAATCATTAAGCATCACTTAAAATATTGTACAGTTTTCATTTCTTAATTGCTGAATCTAAGCGTAATTACACCCACAAAAACATTTAGTATACAGCAGTGTAAAATTATTTTGCAAGTTAATAACAGTGTTATTAATAAAATACATGTAAAATATTTAGTTATTTTATTAAGAAGAAGGCGCAAAATGTTTTGGATTCGTGCTTGAACATGTAAATTTTATTATTTCCGACTGGTTGATCATGGACTGGTAAACAAAAAAAATACTGAACTAAAAAACCAACCGTTAATGTTTAGAGAATTAATTTTATTTAAACATCTGTTACCGTTGGGAGAAACATTTATAATGTTGTCACACTAATACTATAAAGGCGAACGTATGAGTGTCTGTTTGTAAGATGGTTACTTATTTATGCTCAAACGGCGGGACCGATTTTGATAAAATTTGGTATAGAAGTAACTGACACCCTGAATTAACACATAAGCCCGTGGGATGAGCAAGTATCGGATAAACCGCGGTTAACACCGCGCAGGTGGTCATCTATATGGCTGAACTTCACTTTTTAAAACAAAAACAAGGTTCTAATTCTAATTAGAAGCGAATATTATTATCAAAGTGTCGTACTAAGAGGGTGACCTACTTGGAGAAAGCGAACTTATGGTGTGTTTCCAGCTTGCGACCTTTGCAGACAGGTCAATGCATTATGCTTAAGTTCCTGTATTAACTAAAAGGTACCAGATAACATTGACTTCAACACATTTTCTCAACATAACTCATCAAAAACTTAAAGTTAAAATGTACGATATTCATTTTTTTAAACGAATCCTGATTAGCTGGCTTAAATGCTCAGTGTGCTAACAGCTTTGACCTCTCTTAAATAGAATTTCACTATCAGATCGTTTTAGAAAAGTAGATTTTTATTACTATTTACCCCGCCATTCCTATTTTCCCCGTATTACGGTATCGGTTTCTGCAGAATCTACAAGGAAACATAAGAAACATAAAATATTTTGTTTATGTCTCTTAACAAATCATTAATTTTAAGAATATAGAAGATAGGTTCATAAATCAAAACTGCCTCTTTTTAATATTTATAAAATATTTTTCCTTCATAATTACTACTAACGTTGAGTATGCAATAAGCCTTTATGTCTATATTGTTATTTAGTACACTAAGAAAAACGAAAACAAAAATGGTACTCAACGGGTATTTATTTTTAATAGAAGATTTTCAAATGTACGTCAATAAGTTTTAAACGTAAGTTTTAATGTTGAAGTGTGAAGTTGGTAATAAAACTTCAACGTTAATTTACAGCTCGTGGGAGATACAGAAGTATTCATGGGGAAAAGGTTTTCAAGTGGCATTAAGATATAATGAACATGATATCGCATGCTTAGAACGTATTGTCGTGCCATTCTCAATTTTTAGGTTAACAAAAAGTATACAGGACGGCAGCAGACACGAATACCCAGCATATCTGAGTGTTAATTTATTTGAACAAACCAATTATTTTTACGTTTTATTTGTGAAAATATCAAGATCACATCAACAATATTTAAAATATATTAATACGAAGAAATCAAACAAATTAATTGAATGACATAAAATGAGTCGCAAGAATTAGCTGTAATGGATTTATTTTTTCATTATCAACAAGTTTCGAGTATTATAGTGGACATAATCCACGTCTCCCATTTTATTCAGGCATTTTATGAATTATGTTCTCCATTAAGGCGACGCCCGATTCTATTTATTAATACTTTGCTGTTTGAACTGTGCCTGTTGAGACCGTGAAAAATAACACTTGACTAGACTGTATCCCGTTGTAATATTTATTCTAGAAAATTCTTAGATGTTTAGGGAGGACTTTATTTTTAACGGTATCATTTCTAAACAAAAATAAATTAATCAAGAAATATGTATTTTAACCCATATTTATTGTAATATATAAGGTTTAATCCTATATTTAGTATATTAATAGTAATCGTGTGTTTGTAAGTAATTTAATTTTCATAATAGACCGGCAAATCAAATTAGTTTCAGGCCTTGAGCGACACAAGATATGACGCATGAAATGAATTAGGTTTCCTTGGGCGCTTTACATTCAGAGCATGCGTATGTGACGACTCGTATCGCGATAGACTTATAGTAACTCAAGTAATTACTTTTCTATGAGGTATATATCCAATTAAATAAAACATAAAAAAAGTGAATAGGTTTTTAAGACATTAAGGAATTCAGTAACATAAATAGCAGATTCTAAGATTATCGCTCACAAGAGTTTTTTAAGTGTTGTTGATCAATAAAGGTAATCCATACGATAAGTTATTTTGAAATATAAAGGTATGATAGTGTTAATATGCGGTTATTGGAAAAAAGGTTGGGTATGAGAGTTAAAATAGAGTAATGAAAGTTATGTTTGAACCATATGCTTTTACTTCCTTAAAATAGTGGCATTAGTAGTTAGAAATATTAACGCTATGAATAATTGGTACGTAACACACAAATTAAGGATAATACACCGTAAAAAATACATATTGCTATGTGAAAGCGCGTCTAAATTTTTCCCATGACTCATTCGAACCATGCATTTTTTTAATAAGTTTATGAAGAGTTTATGTTGGAGTAATGATACGTCTATCGTGGTTAATTCAATGCTCTACAATACATATCTTTTATTCCTATAACGCTATTGCAAGTTAATTACAATAAGACAGCCATCATTAGGCTAATGCCCTTAGACAGCGCACATAATTGTTTCTTCTTTTATTATCTTGGACAAATCACGTCAACCTGAACACACAGGTATTGCGAGATAAAGAGAGAAATATTGATCGATAAAATGTGTTGTTAGGTTATCAGTACTATAGTTTTAGTATATTCTGATAAAGGTTGGCATTTAATAAAGGTTTATACACCGAATATTGGAAGGCTTGGATCACCGCGTTTTCCAATATTCGGTGTGTGCACCTTTGCTATCAAGCAATTTAGAGATAGTCTCAGTTAAATCTCTAATAGTCATTCCATCGTCATTTTCGTACTAATATGGAAGAAGACAGGAGTTCAGTTGTCGCGATTATGCCACTTATTGTATACAAGAAACTATTAATAGAATACATCTCATCGATAACTGCTACAAACGATGCTCGATATGGGCGTAAGATATTGAACGATTTACCCTATCTAGGAAAAATGGTTGCGTGCATAGCTGAACGACTTTATATACTGTAATTCTAGAGTTTCCCATACAATTACAAACTTAAATTGGTATAAAAAAAATTAATCAACACTTTTCTTTTGTTACAGATAATGTTGCCACGGCCCCTCTCAGAGAGCACAATGAGGTTGTTGCTCACTATAGTGTTAATGTCGTACGCTGCAGAAGGTGCAAAAAAGTTTGAAGGGACGTTAAGGTCGGCAGTGGATGCCCCCCCACAAGATAATCTTGCAATAGAATCTGCAACACCAGAACCAGCAGTGGTAGCTGCTCCTGAAGACTACAAAAATCCTGGAGCTCTGGCGCCGCCAACAGACGCCGCTTCAGAAGAAGCAGTCGATCCACCAGTATCTGCACCAGAAACAGCCTCCGGAGGAGTTCCACCCTCAGCTCCTAGTGGAATTTCTGCTCCTTCCGCACCCGCAAACTCGTTAGAAGAATGCGATCCTGAGATGATTGGATTTGAACTTGTCACTGGGTAAGTAATTGACCTTGCGCTTTTATTTAATTGCCCAGATGCCAGACTTAATAGTACGAGCAATTAAATAATCAGTCAACAAGTAAAGTTATCAAGATTGATCACATTGGTTGGTCCAGGTAAATTGTTTCTCTGGCAGAAGGAGGCGGCGGAGAAGGCCCGGGAGGACGACCTCCACTCGCACCCGATCCGCCGCCGGCGAACCGGGCGGCGGAGGCGCGCCTATCACCGCCTCATGCCGCCCTGAGTGTGGCCGCGGGTGGACGGGGTGGGTTTCCCCTCCACCCGCATTAGGAGGAGGGGTCCGGATGTCTTAATAACAGCTCTTCCCGGATCCCTCCTATTACAGGCGCAGAGTGGCACACCGTGTGGTTTTAGTCGGTCCGAGTCCGACACACCACCCCGCCGCAAACCCCGGTGGGGTGACGGTCCGAGGAGATTCCCACACGTTAAAAAAAAAAAAAAAAAAAGGTAAATTGTTTCTGGTAGTCTGGGTGGTTAATTTAAAAAAAAAAATACGATGACTAGAAAATAAGCTTCTTTTACATTCAACTATTAAACTATCTTGTTATCATTAAACAGGTACGTGTTTTCTGCGCCGTCTCACATCCTAGACGATATCCCCGGCACACTTATGCTGACCGACTGCCTAGAGCAGTGCCAGGCCAACGATACTTGTCGCGCAGTCAACTATGAGACTGGCCTCTGCGTTCTCTTTAGTTCTGACGCTGATCAACTACCTGGTAAGTCAATTACGAACAGAAATATATTGAAATCTAATAACAGTAAAAAATATTTTTCAGTTATTATACGGACAGGGCAGTTTTAAAATCAAATATACATTGCAATTATATACTTAGTCTGTCCGCTAACTACATTATGTCGACAGAGGAAATATTTTACAAAGATTGTTATTAGTGCCATTTTCAAATACTGTCGATTTTTCTCTAAGAAGAGTAGGTTCTCAATCAAATAAAGCCTAGGAAGTGATAGAACATAACTATATATATTTACAGATGTTATCAGAATACTTGTAAAATCTGGCAAAACAGAAAACTGTTTTTTTACTTAAGATTCGCTGTTTCCATTTCGTTCTTTTATCTGCTTAACGATAAATGAACTTTACCAAATGTAGGTATTTGTGATAAACTTAATTCCATATATCTTTTAAAGAAGAGTGTTAACAAGCGGCAATTCCCCAAAAAACAAGCAGTAATTAACGCCACAAAAAGATAAGTGTTTTATTACTGTATTGGTACAACCGGGACAGAAATAAGGTGGTAGAGTAATGGCGCCAATACTCTCATTTCGTCGGTCGGACGAAAAGCTGTGAGGTCACGAACATGCGAAGCGTTCCGATTTTTTGTGCCACCATATCATTTGAATGCTAATAACGGTATGCCCACTCATTATACCTTATAGGGGAAAAATACTCTCACCGTCAAAACAGAAACATGCCTGTCTTTTTATACATACATACATGACTTAGTATAAAGCAGTTTGACCCCGAAATCACGAATCGGAATTCTTATGGCGTTCTATAATGTCTGAACAAGAAAAATCTCTTCGATTATATTTTGCAAGTACTTTTTGACAATAAGATTTATTAAAAAGTAGGTTTTTATAATGTATGTATGGTATTCTAAATTTAAAATTACACCAGCGTTTTATATATGTTAAAATTTTTAGTAACAAATTAAATGCACATTATGTAGTGGTATAATGATATTCATTTCTTGAATTTATATTGTTTAACAAAACAAAATAGTAGACGACACTAGTAAGTGAATAATAATCCTAATAAATTAAGCTATACTAAAATTCCAGCTCAGTCGTCAGTTCAAAGAACAAGATATTGAGATCCAATTATAGGAACACAAATCGCTTTGATCGACGGTGCACGGATTTTCAAATTCGCTAAGCTTGAAGGCCTCTTCACCCAGAACAAGTGCGTGAGCATGAAAAAATTAATGATGACACGAGCACTCCTAACTCATATTTATTGCTTAGGAATTAGGTGCTGTAATATAGCAGAACCAAATAATTCTGCTAACTTTTTATTTTTAAATAGCAACAAGTAAAAAGTATGAAGCATTTATTGGATTTTTGTTTGCAGGTGCGTTGACGAAGTCGCAGTTTCCTGTGTTCACGATTTACGCACAAAAATCCTGTCTCGGCGTGCGGCCTTGTGAAAGGGCCTGGTGTTTTGACCGTGTACGTGGCTACCATCTCAAAGGACGCGGCAAAAAGACACACACAGTCAGTTCCAGGCAGATGTGTCTTGACCTCTGTCTCGGAGAAAACGAGTTTGTTTGCAGGTAAGTTAAATACCAAACAAACAGTAAATATTACGATCTCTGTAAGTGGCTCACCATTAGATTGTTACAAGAATTTTGTACATTTAACAAGGTACAGTCATTGCAAAAAGGATTTAACTTTGAAATGTATTTCCGCTGCTATTTCTAATATATTGTTACTGCTTAGCTAATTCACATAATTCTTAACATTCTTATCCATGTCCTTGCCCATCCATGTCCCATCTATAACAAGATACAAATGGAATTTCCATAACTTATAGCAAATATAATTCATATTTTTACCCGCGACATAAACGTAAGATTTATGTTCCCGCTCAAAACCACAATAGGAGGATGCGGTAAATTTATTGAAATCACATCCATACTACCGAGAAAGGTTATAGACACTGAGTCCATCAATAGTTTATAGAAACAGCAAAGTCATCATCTTGTTATTGTGTTTATAAATTCCTGTGGCCAAAGATTAATTATCTACACCAAAATTGTATCCGAGGATAACTGGTTTCCAGTGCGTGAAGTGGTTTATCCAGATCAGCTTTTAAGTAGTTCTTATTAATCGGTATACAGTGGCACTTACGAACGACATAGATGAAATAATTTCATCTTATTCAATTCTATTTCTAGAATGCCTATTATTCTGCATTCTGATGGTTATATGTACTATTAAAAAATATTTTAGTATATTCATCTAATTATTATAAAATACTAGATGTACTCTGCCACGCTTCGCTTAAATGAGGAATGAGGGCAAAACTAAAACGAACAAAAAACAATAATTTAAGCTTTTTGCATATTGTGTAAAAACTTGAGCTCAATCGATGCAAACTTTAAAGAGTTTTTATACAACTTAACATTTTTACATTATTAGATTTTGATAGTTTCATAAGTACTACTCGTATAAAAGCTTGGACATTATAGTTAATTAAATCTGCAGTTAAGTTAATAATAATGAGAAATTAGCTCACATGTAATTATTGGCATTATTTTAAAGGTTTAAAGTAAACTTTCAAAGTAGAGCGTTGTGTGGGCGGAGTGGATCATGAATAACCCGCGAGCACTATTGCTCTCTCGACACGACCTTTGCGTGGTTGTACAGACATGGACACTAAGAATAGTATTAGTGCAAACAATATAACTATATGCAAATTCACTCACGCTTTATAGAACAGTATCAGAATGCAGTCAGGAAGAAAAAGAAACGATTAAAAACAGTGATTCTCTTTATTTGCCTTAGCTGAACTAAAAAAACTACCATCCCACCCACCAACCCAGGTTACCACCTAGGTAAACAATACAATACCTTTTTTTTTTTTTTTTTTTTACGTGTGGAAATCCCCTCGGACCGTCACCCCGCCGGGGCTCTCGTTCGGCGGGGCGGTGTGTCGGACTCGAACCGACTAAAACCACACGGTGTGCCCTCTTTGCGCTTCCAGTTTAGGAGGGGTCCAGGTAGCTATCTCCTTCTGGACCCCTCCCAGCGCCGGCCCGCTCCTGATGCGGGCTCCGTCTCGGTGGACCCTCTCTTTAGGCGACGTCCGGCACACGCGGACGCCGCCCCCTCGCGGCTGGCCAACTAATGCGGGTGGAGGGGAGAACCCATCCCGTCCACCCGCAAACAATACAATACCTAGGTGGAGGTTCTCATTTTAAATAGTTGAGTATATGTTTCAAACAGATCCGTGTGGTGACGGATTAAGAATACAGAGTGTCACCACCCCTATCCATCCCGTGGGTGTCGTAAGAGCCGACTAAGGGCGAAAACTACGCAGAACAACAGCACTGCAGAGAGAAGGAAAACTTGACACAAACCCTATACCAACCCGTCTGGCCAGCGTGGTATAGTAGGCCAAAACCTCCTTTCTAAGGAGAGGCTATGTCCAGCAGTGGACTATTAAAGGCTGTTGATGATGATGATTGATGATGTTTCAAACAAAATTTTATATATCTAGGCTTCTTTAATAATTTAAAGCATTATAAGAGTATAAAACTAAAACATCAGAGATTAAATAGGTCACAAAATTCATTTAAACTAATTTATTTATTGCTAATGTACACATGCGATTCGTTTGTGGAATTGATTTCAATCTATCTAGTCGAATTACATAATCAGAACAAATATCTTGCAGCTTAAAATTGGTTATAGAATAAAGGATTTACGACCTCACAATTTTTTTATACATTTGTACCAATACAACACTTACAGAAGCTGAGGTTTCAACTATGGTAGAGGAGCTCGTGATGCTAAATGTGGATTTACTCGAGCGTCGTGGGGTAGGTCCCCACGACGCATTGCATTTCAAAGAGTAGGTAATAGAATGGATAAAAGTTTTGTAATGTTTCCACTTCCAGCGGTGGAAAAGCTTCCACAGGTTTTCAAAAATTTGGTGGGAAGAAATCGAAAAAAAATATTCGTGAGCATCAGATATTCTAGGCATATGTTATTTGGATGCCGTAAATGCTCCCATTTAAAGGTTTGACGATTTTAAAGTAACAAGCTAGTAGCGCGTTATCTAAAATACAAACTGCAAATTCGAATAATCGACATTTCGGAATAACCTGTGTTAGATTATGTGCATGCGGTTCGGCTTAATGTTCCTGTCATGATAGCCGAATAATCTGATGATAATTTTGGAGGGTATTTTAAATCTGAAGGTTGGAAATATTTTTATTTTTCACAAAATGTGACAAAGGCACGAAAAATTATGAAGACATTTAAAGAAGATTTCTCGCATTGTTTGCTTCAAAAAAAAAGGGCAAAGGCATGTGTTTCTTTTTTTGTTGGAACTTTGTGACCCTCACACTGCCCTGTCCTGTCCTGTCACGCTCAAATCGTCAGTTTTTTTAAATACACACTAATATGAATGTAATTAACACAACTTACTATCTTTCACGCTCGAGTATTTCAGACCTTCGATTTTTTTAACTAATCAGATGAGCTGCATGTATGGTCAAACCGCATTTGGTCGAGTTACTCAACTTGGTGTAAACCCAGTTGCAATAACTCGACCATATACGGTATTCCTTCTATGTTAATCTGACACGCTCGAGTAAATCCCGAAAACCATTCTAGGGATCCCCTACTACTAGAGTCGTTAGTTGTTAAGACCACTATCATCGTCTTCTAAGGACTTACAACGACTTACATCGGGTCGCTTTTAGCCACCGACACCCTAATACCCTATATGTCCTAATGGCTATATCGACGATATAGTTAAATAAAAGGAATCATTTAGATGTCGTCGGTATAGCTATTGATGGAAAAATCAACGTTGGAAGTTAAAGTCCGTTGGATTAATAACCGCAATTTTTCCCCAGTAGACGTTGGCTAAATGTTCATCTTTTTGAGTTAAATTGATTACCACAGCAATATAACAGAATGGAAATATTTGGCGATAAGATTTAGCGTAATGCAATTTAGTTATTTAACGTTGGGCTGACAGTATGCCGTGGTTGCTACCTCAATGAAAAAAACCTAAAGGATTTTTTTAAATTGTGTTCAATTGATATTCGGAACTGTAAGAAATAATTATGTAATATTAATTACTACTAGATAGTAAACAATTACAGGTTTGAATTGAACTTTGTTTCGCTAAAAATACTAAATGAGCTTTACGTTTTGTGTTACTAGAAACGATAGCAATGAATGTCAATAAAGATATTTTCAATAGCTTTATTGACATTCATTGCTATCGTTTCCAATACTGTAGGCTGTCCACTATTAAATTTAGGAATTCGGCTAGTTGAATTCTTCCTTTTATAAAGGCTACTGAAGGAGTTGTCATGTAATAAAAGTGAATCACTAATGGATTCGTTTTTAGAGGCAGGATCGTCAATAACAATTGGAGGTAAAACGTTCGGCTTTACTTCTTAGCCTTTTGTCATTGAATGATGACCGTTTTAATTAATCCCAATGTGTTCTACAATAAATGTGTGAAAAGGCCAACCAATATTGTAAAAAGTAAATCATAATTTTTCTTTGTAAATAAATTTATTGTAACAGGTAGTTAAATGTTTACGCCTATTTACATGTTACTATCTAGTAAAGGATGTATCTATTTTGACTGCAATTAAACAACAAAGCAAAAAGGTCAATACGCATACGTGAAAGCACATCCTTAACATAATCAATAATACAACAAAATATCTCCTCTCATAAATAAAGCCAGCTCATTAGATATCCATACTAGTATCAGCTAATTTATAGATTAGCCCGATAACTAAGTCAATCAGCTTTCACCAAGTTACCATAGATGGTTGGTTGTGCCGTACATCTTTGCAGCTAGTTCAGTGGATAAGTCACAGCCTCTTCCTGGTAGCCGTTCTGTTTCTAAATTCTACAAACGAGCATTATATACAAAGCAGGGAGGCCAATTGAACAGCCTACGTCTCAGGCGTCTAATATAGCAAGACACGACTGTCCTATTGTGTTTATTTCCTTGTACGGTTTTTGATATCATTAACATAAATAGTGTACTGCGTCAAACGCTCACATTCGAAACACGTACATATATCCGTTGGCGTGTTCAGGTCAAACCTGCGCTCAGTAACGATTGCGGATTGTAGCGCTAATTTGCTTCTGAATGCGAGCACTACACGTGTTTTCCAGTATAGCGGTCAAACGTATTACAAATCAGTACGCGTTTCTTCTCACCGTATAGAAATCTGCACTTCATGTAGTAAATTCTGAGTCATCTTCGTAATGCGTTTGTAGTATTGCCACTTAGCACAGTTTGGTTGTTTACACCTATTTCTATAAACCGTTAAATGAAAGCGCAATAAAAAGTGCCAATTTACTTAAAGATGACCTACTACGATTTTTTCGACTTGGCAACTTGAAATAGAATTTGTGAATGACGATGGAAAAGGAAGTGGGTTCTTAAAAATACTATTTTAGCATTGTCAAAAATAATTTAATTATGTAGCTTAAATGATTTCGCATTAAAGTGAAATAATGATCTTATTTCTACTAACAGTAACGTTTTACGGGTATTCAATTCCACGACTACACGTTATCATCTGGGAACTCTTTAACTCAGGTTAGGGTTAGGTAGACGATAGAGAATTAAATGTAAGATTTTAAGTAGTCAAGCTAGGTTCGACACTTGTACCGTTGGATACAAATCGTCGTATCTCCATTGAAACGAACAGGCGGTGCAGGCGCAACCCTGGTGGCGTACATCGCGATCTTCGACAGTCACGACATTTGGCAAATACTTTGCGGACGTGGCGGCGCGGTGTGGGAGCGACTTGCCCTATCGCTTCCTGCTTTAAAGATACAATAACCGATTAAATACATATTGTTTAACTCATTAACTGAAACAATTATAACTGATAGTTCTTCAGACACCTACCTCACACGACGTAATGTTTTACTAGCAAGTTAAGATTTAAAAATTGTAATTTAATTCTATTTAGTATTGAAAACTACTTTAAACATCGATTACAGAGGATATGAATAATAATTATTATGTACGTCATTCATAGCTTATATATAGTCGCGCATCATATCACGGGATTTAATAATAGAAGCCAAATACAGTAGAAATTGTAGCCTATCAATAAAATTATATACCATTATCTTTTTACCTTCGACCACCAAAGACGATTATTATAAAAAAAACGTATACATGATGGACGTAACGCTAATTCTTAATTTATATAAATTATGTTACAATTGTTTAGGAGTTAATAATATAGTCATCATTTTATAACTTATGATTTACTCTATAAAAAGTTTGATTGATAGATAATAATTGTTAGTGCAGAAGCTTAATATTACGAATTAATGATTACTATAGGCGCTTATATTAAGATTACGATTGTATCTTGACATGTAGTATGTACATATATAAGAAAGATACAGAATTGCAAGCAGGTGTAATAATCATGCGATGAAGTCGAGGCATTATTGCAATAGCAACTGGTGTGGTAAGAAGTATTAGTGACTACTCGGTATCATCAACTTTAACTACACTTTCTATTAATGTGGCCCAGTAAAAACTTATAGGTGACTTATAAATTTAGTAAGAATAGCCATCATTATTACAAATTGTCTTCTAAACAACTACGAGTTTAAATATAAGTACACTAAACAGTGAAACAGAAAGTTCTCATAGTATATACAACAAAGAAAAGCGCGCATCTCTTGTGAATATCCCATAGGTTAGCACAAGGGTCATCTGATCAAGTTCGATTGTACATCAAGAGAAAATATTGAGTTAGATGAACAAGATAATATTATATGGGTAGTCAGTGGACACGATCAATATTATACGCTGTAACGCAAACGTTTTATGGATAATATAGGGTTATATTATTCGTCCATATTTTCTTGTATATCGTAATTCTGCAGTGCTATAAATTTTAAAAATTGAATTTTTAGACGAAAGACGTCAGTAAATGGACGCAACTATCATCTGAGAGCACCTAAATAACATGAAATAAAGGACACGATCCTTTATTTTAAGTTATTTAGCTTTTACAACAACTTCTATAGACTTTGAAATTAAAAGTATAATCTTGTATCTGAATGGCTTAATTAATAGAACATTCCATACTACACACACTTTATCTGTAGATCTGTATGCATAAAAAACAAGATAAAAATAAACGGTTACAATAACATATGTATGTAGAAAATTTTGCTATATCATCGAGCAACATTCACCCGTTAACAGTTTTTTTTACTCATGCATTATTTCACTTTTAAGAGTATCTAGTAGGTTGTACAAATTTCTAACCCGAATTAAGTAGGTATAGGTAAATAGAATGAATAATAGTTTTTAATCCGTGTGAAACATTGTTACAGATCCGCGAATTACAACAACAAAACTGGAGAATGCGTTTTGTCTAACATGGACCGCATTACTTTAGCAGGAACAAACTCCTTCCAACCAAACGAAGGTATAGTAATATGTCGTAGTATAATACAAACTCGTGTTATTATATTTTAAGAAATTAATGTATTAACAACTTAATCGATTTTAGACACGGACTATTTGGAGAACAACTGCGTTGAAGAACCAACAAAACTTTGCGAATTCAAGAAAATGGGTGGGCGCATCCTAAAAACAGTGGACTCTGTGTATCAAGATGTTCAAACCATTGAGGAATGTCGTGAGCTTTGCCTGAACTCGCCTTTCCGTTGTCACTCATACGATCATGGTGATACCGGTGACCACGTATGCCGTTTGTCTCATCACTCTCGAGCTACTCTTGCTGATATTCAGGTGCGGCATTTAGACAGAATTTACTCCTTCTGCCTACTACAAAGTTACATCGTCAATGTTATTCAACAATATTTTTTATACGTTTCAAGTTAGTCGACTATAATCCGGCTAGCGGTTGGGTTACTTTTAAAACTTAAGTTTATCTAAAAAAAATTTTTTCTAGGATCCATACTTAGAAGTCCCTGAAGCAGCTACTTATGAGCTATCGTCATGTTACAATGTATCTATTGACTGTCGAGCTGGAGATATGGTAGCTCGTATACAAACCTCCAAGCTATTCGACGGCAAGATCTACGCTAAGGGTAGCCCTAACTCTTGTGTTGTTGATGTTAACCAGAGTCTTGAATTTGAATTACACATGGGATATAACAACATTGAATGTAATGTTAAGCAAAATGGACTTGGCAGGTAAAAGCATACTACGATTTTCAATAGCCATTTTTGCCAAATGCCTGAATATTGGCCAAAACATAAAATATTTTCTTTTTCAGATACTTAAATGATGTAGTTATTCAGCATCATGACACCATCGTTACGTCGTCTGATCTTGGTTTAGCCGTGACCTGCCAATATGATTTAACTAACAAGACTGTAGCAAACGAGGTAGATCTCGGTATTCATGGAGACATCGTTACTGGTCTCTCAGAAGAGGTCATTGTCGACTCACCCAACGTGGCCATGCGCATTACAGACAGAAATGGCGACGACACTATTGCATCTGCAGAAGTTGGAGATCCTTTGGTAAATATGATTTCAAGATCTAAGAATAATCTATTTGAACTTTATTTCTGTTTCTTTATATAAGTTTAAATATTTTGCTTTTAGGCACTCCGTTTTGAAATTATGGACCCCAATTCGCCATTCGAGATCTTTGTCCGCGAGCTTGTCGCTATGGATGGTGTTGATTCGAGTGAGATTACTCTAATTGACAGCGATGGTTGCCCCACCGAGCACTTTATTATGGGACCCGTGTCCAAATCTGCCAACAGCGGAAAGGTAAAAACAATTTATAGCAAAAGTTTAGTTGAATAAGAGTAGAAATGTCACTAAGATATTGATTTAGATTAGTTCATTCTCCCGAGGTTGGTATTTTGCATAATGAATACATCATCGAGCATCATCATCATCAACAGCCTTTAATAGTACATAGGCCTCTATTTAGAAAGGAGGTTTTGGTCTACTATAACACGATGGCCAGATGGGTTAGTATAGGGTTTGTGTCAAGTTTTCCTTCTCTTTGCAGCGCTGTGGTCCTGCGTAGTTTGCTTCCTTGGTCGGCTCTTACGACACCCATGGGATGAATTAGGGTGGTGACACTCCGTATTCTTAATCCGTCACAACACGGAATCGAATACTGAGAGATAGAGAAAATCAATACCGATTGCATAATAAAGATCTCTACTAAAATAGTGATTTACTTGTATTATAGATGCTGTTGTCAAACTTCGATGCCTTCAAATTCCCGTCTTCAGAAGTTGTTCAGTTCCGTGCTTTGGTAACTCCGTGCATGCCCACGTGTGAACCAGTGCAGTGTGATGGTGGGCCGAACGAACTCCGCTCCGTCATGTCTTACGGACGTAGGAAGAGACGTTCAACTCCTGCTGCACCCACCGATGATATGCTCCTTGTGCAAACAATTCAGATCACCGACAAATTTGGATTCGACAAGCAGCGCGCCAAGAACGTCACCGAGGATTCAGTTTACGTCAGAGAGACTGACGTCACTTGTGTCAACGCGGCAGGTGCTATGCTCGCGGCAGCTGCGTTCCTAGCAGCCCAACTAGTCGTATTAGCAGCGTGGACCTGCAGTTGGCAGCGACGACGTGCTGCCGCGAAAGCGGCTGAATTACTCCCAGGTCCTAACGCTCCTTCTGCCCTTTGCAAAGTCTATGATGCCAATTTTTCTCGTGCACATCAGAGGCACTTCTAAATAACAATAGACATGTTGACGTGATCAGCGTCCGCAATAATAGTATATTTCGTTAGTTTATAAGCCCCCGTCGAGTTCTGGTTCGTACGCATTTTATGTCGGCGAGCGCAGGACCACGATAGCGGTTATTTAATGGTTAATGTCCAAAAGTTTCCATACCTTACATCATGTATGGGCTAACGCGTGTGGAAACATGCGACACAGAGACGGGGACGACCGCAAGAGCGTGCGCGAATGTGGATGAATGTGAGTGGAGGCGCGCAGTGTGACAGTGTTGTCTTGAGTGTGTGCAGTGTATGACGCTCGCTTGTCCCCATCTCCGGAGTCGTTGGCGGGGCCGCGGCCGTGAATCGTTATCTAGATCACGTCGCTCATTCGTTCACTTTACGCTCGGATATTCCTTTTGCGGAAGTCCGATAACGTATTGTACCATTTTTTTAAAAGTAGTGTAAGCCAGATTTTAATGATATCTAGTGATAAGTAAAAAATAACATTTCAGTACCTTTTAGGTAGATAACCCGAAAGTGCGACCTAAGTCAAGAGATAATGGATTGACGGCCGTCCCGACATCGTAATTTATTTAATTTAGGATATTTTCTTTTTTACGTAATTTATGATTGAATTTAATACTATTTAATAAAATTGTAATTTAAATAAAACCCTACCTAAACAAACAAAAGCTTACGACTTACAAAAAAATGTGCTATTCCATGTAAACGAAAAGTATTTTATCATATCTACTAGTGTTAGTAATGAGATGTTAAAATAATTAAATGTTTTTTGAACTTAGAATTCAATGACATTTTACCTTGTTTCATCCGTCCAAATTGTCATTACATAAAATATATTTTTCAAAATATTACGTGGTTTTATTTATTTAAGTATTTTCCTAGGTACTTCTTCATTATTGCAAATCATAATCTAAATCACACACTACACTACTGAGTAGCTACTCAATCGAAGGATGATTAACATAATCAACTGTTAATTAATTTAAGTGTTACCTAAGTATCTCATAGGTACCTTAAAGGTATTAAGTATATATCTTGCCAGTATTAAGTTCATACCTTTGAAATGGCTCAAGTTTCGACCAGGTTGCACTGGCTTTGGCCACAGGCTGAATGGTTGCAGCGTATGCCCACGGTCAGTGCAATCTGATTAATACCTATCGTGAGCGCGTTAATTCCCGTAAACATAATTATATATTATAGAAGGCGATAGTTTATAAATTTAGAATAATCAACTGTTGATTAATGGCTTTGTGGTGCAATCATAATTTCGCCAATATCATGCAGCCGGGAGACAAACTATTAAAATATTTTATGTAGAGCAGAATCCATCAGATAGAAATAGTAATTGACTAATTTGAGTCTTTACCAAGAATCAGAAAAACCTAATACAAAGGATTTTTTTTCTTTAATTACTTTCTCGCATAATGATTCATTATCAACAGCCTATAATAGTCCACTGCTAGACATAAGAAAGAATCCTTAGAAAGGAGGTTTTGGCCTACTATACCACGCTGGCCAGACAAGTTTGTTTGAGGTTTGTTTCAAGTTTTCCTTTTCTTTGCAGTGCTGTTGTCTTGCGTAGTTTTCTACATTAGTCGACTTAATGTTTAAACAAAGAATACTAAATAACCTATTCGCTAAAAGTGTAGGATATGTATATCCTTGAAGAACTGAAAAGTATGTCCCGAATTATGCGGTTAGTTATTAGAGTGCATTTAGTACACTTTTTTATTTATTTATTTTATTTTTATTTTTAACTTTTTGCACAAGTACATGCATCGGCGGACTTAATGCCTAAGGCATTCTCTGCCAGTCGACCGATGTGTTTTATCATACCAAGGTATTATGGATGAAAATTCGATAGTAGTTTCCAAAGAATATTTAATATAAATCAAATACAAATATAACGTGTATTGCCAACGAAACTCACAGATAACTAACATGTTTCTTGAAAACCTACCAGATATTTTTATGAAATGCAAAAATCTAGTAAGCGATAAAACGTGACCTGCGAGGTTACATTTGGCTAGTGTGCCCTCTCGAAACTGCAAACGTCAATGAGATGAGATCTGTCGTAAGCTTGTCACCATCACGTGTGAAGGGGCACGGCTCGTGTAGTTCGTGAGGGAGATAAGATCAGTACGCGCGACGCGACGCCGGCACGCGACTACAGACACGTGCCGACTCGACGCGACAACAACTAAACGCGACCATTAGTAGCAACAAAGAATTTGTGCTGAACAAAACGTTTCTAGATTTAGATTAGAACTTAAGTGTTGAAGGTAAATAAATTATACCTTTTTGAGGTTGCCGCAGAGTACTTAAGTTATTTTCCTGAATGTTGAAAAAATTAAGTTGAACAGTTATTAACGTCGAATTAATTTAGACGAGCTACTAAATATACAACATAACGTTATTAGGAAACATATGACCAATAAGAATTTGCCTTTCGAAAATTAATAAAATGAATGTGCACTAATCAACTTTAGTGCATTTTTCGTGTTCGAAATGTTATATTATAATCATAGCCCATGAAGTTCTTGGCATTACCTACATTGCTTCCTCGTGAACTGGTTGTTAACACTGCCAAAATGGATTTCTCTTTGACTCTAAGGGTTTTCGATCCACGTATATTCTATTCTATTGTTGAAACAAATAAGTTAAAAATATTTTAATTAAAATATCCGTCAATCGATTTCTCAAATTAGTGGAGTTATAGTTTATTTTTTTACAGCAAGGTAATAAAGTATCCTTGCAATTGATATAAGATGTATCTTTACAATATCGACTAACAATAACCGTAGGCGGTTTTACACAGAGAGTTCTCGGATTTCCTAAATACCTCGGTTATTTCTCTACATTTGCCAATCAAACAAAGTAAGATGCAGTTGTTTAAAATATAAAATAACTTGGTTATAAAAACACGACTAGAACCATTTCGTTAAATTAAATAGGACCAACGACCTTTGAATCATGAAAATTGTCGTGGGAAGAAACACATGTCTATAGACCAGGCTATAGTGTAGTTTTATAGAGCCAAATAAAAAAAAAACAATCTTCTATAGTAGGACCTGTGTAATAATCATAAAAATAACATATTTTACATTTCTAGTAAATAAATGCAAGGGGCGGACAATTTTACAGGAGCCGATGTCATTTTCGTAGAACTATAAAATTCAAATATTGAATGCAACATTGTGCCGCAGATAAAGTCGTTTACAATAATATGAAATATTCATAAACGAGAATCGGCGGCGGCCACCGGAATTGCGAAGCTTGGATAAAAAAGATAACTTGCACAATTCAGATGCATCGGTCAACGGACAATGGCACTGACAACATAATATTCTTATAAAACGTTGGTATTATTAAAAGGAACGTCCTCAGAACGCTTTCGTGTCTAGGGAAAAGCTAGTAATAGATCAATCCAGGATTGTTTTTACAGAATGAATAATATAAAATGTGAGCTCGTGTAGTGCGACCATTGAAATATTATCGATCTCGCTTCTCAATGCGTATCACATAAGTAATCTAAATGTCTATATTTATACATAGGCAAATAAAAACAGCTAACCTTTTTGCTCAGTAAAACTGTGTTCTTGAAATTCTTCGTAGATTGCGAGCTTTAAATTGCTTTTATTTTATTGGATAAACCGTATTTCCAGAAATGACTCTATTAAAATCTTCAACTTAAAATAAAATAAATAATTTGAAATGGAAAAATTAGATATATTAGGATTTAATCATTTTGTTAGGTTTGATTATATTCTGAAAATATAACTTGCCACAGACTTACACTTGCACCTACCGACTATTACTTTTTCCAAAATTTAGACAACTTTCTAGTAGGTAAAAAATTCAATTCCCGAGTGCCTCTCGGGACGGGAGGACGTGGACGGGACGGGACGGGAGGACGTGGACGGGACGGGACGGGAGGACGTGGACGGGACGGGACGGGAGGCAACAAACTCTTCAAAGGCATTTTGTACTGCCTTTGAAGAGTTTGTTGCCTCCCGTCCAGCTGATTTTTACAAGAAGGGCATCAATAAACTGCCAATGCGTTGGCAAAGATGCGTCGATTGCATGGGTGATTACTTCGAATAACAGAAATAAAAAAGTTTGAAAAAATAAGTACTTTCACTTATTGCATACAAAACGGCAATTGCATAGGTAAAGACCTAATATTAAAGAAGCTTACAATATTAAATAAGCTTTGGCGTTGAAACTTTTGGAACAGACACACATTAACTTTTTTAAAGCTATTAAAAAGTTAATGCGTGTATGTTCACAAAATTTACTACAAATTTTTAACCGACTTCAAAAACATAAAAGAGGAGGTTATCAATTAGTCTGTTTTTTTTGTATGTTTGCATATCGATATCTTCGTCAATTGTGGACCGATTTTCAATTATTATTATTTATAATCGAAAGGGTATGCTCCCGAGCTGGTCCCATTACCACCAAATCAGGATCTGATGATGAGATCTTAGAGAAATCAAGGTAATCCCTCAAATTCGAATTTCAATTCAAGGTAATCCCTCGACTGCACGGATGGCGTAGTGGTTTAAGCGGTCGCCACGCTGCTACCTACTACGTCGAGTGTTGTGGGTTCAAACCCCACACGGGACCACACTTTGTGTTTTCCACAAATTGTTGTTCCGAGTCTGGGTGTTCTTTGTGTTCGTTTCATGTATGTTTGTAAAGTACCCCGCGACACAGGATGTATTCCTAATGCGGGAGTTGTCTTTTAAAAAAAAAAAAAAATTTACAGCCCCGACAATGTGTTTTGGCTTATTTCTCTAGCTTTGTAGGTATTTGCATTTAGTAGTCGTTATGCCATGTTGCTGAGATGATGATGAAAGGTTCCCTGACCTTTAGGAGTTAGAAAATAACTCTTTAAAAAATCTAATCATGTATTGCCTTGTTTTTTTTCTTTCAAGATATTTGTTAGGTGTTTGTGTGGGGTTACAGAGATATGTGCACAAGAGA